ACCTTAAGTTTCTGCTCATAAACCAAGACAGATCTTCATACAGTTCTAAATACTCCCCTTAGACACTTGTGCGCCCTTCCACAGTCAACAAGCCAAGTCTTAAACTAAAATAATTAAAGACTTAAGTTAAAGGAGTTTTCCCTCATCCTCCAACAGTTTCATCATGTCTACTCAACCCATCATTAATTTTTTTTTTTTTTTTTTTAGGATGTGGAAGCCCTTTTACAGTTATCACTAATTACTATGAGAGAAAACAAAAACAGAAGTTCCATTATTTGGTAGTTTTGCTTCTAATTTTAGGCCTGTTTTACAAAGATATAGTCAGCCATCTGAAAGTGTTCACAGAACGCCTCACATGTCACACAGAAAGTGAGAACTTTAATTTATGCAGGACTTATTTCATCTCCATGCATAATTTTTTCTTCCCTAGACTTCTGCAATCCAGTGACACGAATGTCAGGCTCAACTAAAGATTTGCTGTTACAATGACAGCATTAGAAGTTAGGCATCTTTAGCAGTCTAGTGAGTTACAAGACGTTTCACCTTTTGATAATAAAATACTTCCATCAATATTGAACCTTTCACCCAAAGAACATCAATATACATCACTGAAAATAAAGCTATTTCCAAGAAACTCAGTGACAACCAAGCGGCAGCACAGCAAGCCACACGAGAGCAGAAGTGAGCACTGCAGAGCCGCATGCGTAAGAAACCTCAAGATTTACTCAGATTCAGATCATACATCAAAAACAGGTTATCACATGGGTACCATAATCAATGACGTTCTGATGACACCACCCATCATCTGCACGACACTATATCACCCAAGGAAATAGTTATAGGGTGTAAGCAAAGTAGGACCAATCTTACTCAGCTAAACAGACAAATTCTTTGGAATATATTACTCGATAATGGTGAGATTAGGAATCTCCAGGAATCTCAGGCCACAAGCCTATTAACCAGCCTTCAGCATGTCTCACAAATCTCTCCACTTCTATGAAGAAAAAAAAAATATTTTTTTTGCAGAGTTCACAGGGAAATGAAATCAAAATCACACTATCACAAATACTCCAATATTCCTCTATCAGCTGGGGAATCAAAGATGCACAGAGAGCTCAGTCTGTTTATTGGAAATCACTATTTATTTTACAAATGTTTTCAGTACCTGTTTAGCTTAAAACTTCTGAGTACTACAGAGCATCCAGAGATAGATAAACAAGCAAGATGCACATTACCAATGGAGAAAAGGCTAAGCTCTCCTGGCTGAGGCTAGAGGAAGAAGGTTGCAAATCCCTCTTAGGGTCTAAAAGGAGCTGTCAGATTTACAGATGCCTCACAGCAAGATAAACAGCAGGCAGCCAATGCAGGCACCAAAAGGTCTTGTTAAAGCTCCCACTGTCCTCTCCTAGAATCAACAGGAATCTTGCTTGGATTCCCTTTATATATAGAAACATTATAGAAATGTCAGTTCACTTCATCTTTTATTTTATACAGAGAAGGAGTAGTAATATCACAAAAAGTTACAGGAAAGTAATTAATTTGTTAATGGGTAAAGAATTATAATATTTGTAATGGATTTTTGCTTAACTAGAATAAATTTACTGGAAAAAAACTATCTTTATACTTGCAGATATTCAAAGAAAGTTTGCCATAATATATTCTAGTTTTACTTTTCTCAGAGCTATCTCACTCTCTACAGGTACCAGTATCACCAGCAGAAATAGCCAGAAGTATGCTCTTGTAAACAAATAAACAAAAACACACTTGCTAAGAATGTAAAGAATAAATGCAACGGCACAGGTAAAGAACTTCTCAGCTACATTTACTTGAGATTCGTTTTTCAGGGGGGTCACAGCGATTCTTTCTCACACTGTAAGGAGGACTAAAACCACTTGCAAATGTTAAAAGTGTTTCCTTACACATTTCCTTATTTTTGTAACCTACTCCCAAATCACAAAACTGCAGAATCATTCACACTGAAAGGAACTGCAAGAGGTCACTTTGTCAAACTTCCTGTTCAAAACAGAGCACTCTACAAGAATTATTGCACCACGATTTCCTCAGGGACAAAAGTCTAAGGGAGGCAGATAAGCCTGTCCTCCTCAAATCATCCTTGTGACCTTAGTTGCAAATGAGTACGACAGATTCCTTTCTTCACTCAAACTTGCCCCCTGTCCTCAACACTTCTATTGCTATGACACTGGCCAGGTCTCTCCGCATCCTTGCTTGGGTCCCATAGACTTTTTTGGGTCAAATTCTCCCAAGTAATCCCTGTCTCAAACCTTGCCCCTTCTTTGTAGTTTTTCTCCTCTACCTACAGAGGTATGGGATATCTTCTTGATGAGGACAGAGAAAAAGACATTTTGATATTCCTTCTAAGAAGCAACTCCAGGTGCAAATCTGTCTTCCTTAACACCCAGCATACTCCAGTAAGATTTCTAAATTTCTCCTTTATATATAGCCTGTCCCTGCTTCCATCTCCAAAGCACCCTATTTTTCCACTGGAACTTTCATGAACTTCATGTTCAGCCAAACCAGTTTCCTTGATACATCTGCTTGTTTTCATGATTACTGGAGTAGCCTGTTCTTGCATTTGGAAAAGGTTGTCCTTAAGGATAAGCTTAAAGGTGCTTCCCTGAGCTCCTCCTTCAGACAGGGACACCAAAATAAAGCCCACAATCAAAAGATGTCATTCCACACAAATAAACAAGGTTAAATTGTACATTTCTCCAATGGAAATATCCTATGTCTAACCCACTTTCTGAGCAGAGAGCAGCAATGCTCACCTATTACACACTTTGAGTAATTACCACAGAATTCGGAGTCCTTTTCTTTCAAGGATATACTGTAGTAAGAGTAATAAATAAGACATAAAAAAGGAAAAATACTCTGGAAAAAAAACAGTGTAATCTGCTGTCTGCAAAGGAAAAAAAATGGCTGTCAGAGATGCAGAGACTGATAATTTAAGCACTTGTTGTGTTTTTTTTTTTTTTTTCTCTCTATAATGGAATATTAGTTTTCCAGATATCCACTAAGCTAAAATGAATTAAACCATTCCCTTTGTCTGTTATGACTAAAGCCGTTAGGTATCATACACACTCACAAAAAGCATTCATAGTCTGGCCAAATTACTTTTCATCAATATTGCTTTAGGAATTATAGATACACTTTAAAGATTTTACACTTGTTAAATATTTTAGTGCATTTAATATTACTGAAAAGTCAGAAAATGATCCAAGCAAGCAAGGATGTTTTAAGACATGGTATTTAGATGTCAGACTTCATTGTAAGTGTACATAATTTCATTTTCCCTCCCCAAACTAAAGTCAATAAATTCGTCCTAAAGTGGCAAGCAACTAGACACTAGATTGCAAGTAATGTAATACATAATTCCTCAAGCAGAAGCAGAAAGGGTTGTTTTTAGCAGCTTTAATGATTTTCCCTCTAGACATTTTTTGTTTTAATTTCTGTAGAAAAGTGCCATTTGTCTAGAATATATTAAGATATAAATGCAGGCTACCAAAATGACGAGCCTTAGCTGTGCAGCTGATAGTGCAAAGGCCAGACCAGACACCAGTACAGCAGTATCCTGGAAAACTCTCTTGTTATGCAGTCAGTGACACTGTTAGGGCTCTCTAAAGTCATATCTCTGTTGTCAGGACCGGAGGCCTAACCGAGAAACGCAGACTCCGCTCTACTGCAACTCAACACCTTACATGGGAGGTCCCCAAATCTGGGACCACAGAGTCACTGACACACAGTATCTTCATTTGAAGCCACTAGAGAACTAGCTGCGATGGGAGTGCTCTCCCTGTAGTATCAGTCTAGCAGACAAATACAGATAAGTTTGATTTATCTACAGGGGAGGAAAAAAAAAAAAAAAAAAAAAAAAAGGTTGACTGGTCTTACAGCATCAAAGAAATTCTATAGTCTGTAATTCAACCTCAAAAAAATTATAGTGAAAATGAATGGTGTGGAAATATGCACCTAAGTATAATTTAATGCTCTTAAATACAAATCATTTTAGCAATAAAACTGAGGAATAACCTTGACTGCACTTTCCTGGGAAATTATAAACACTTTGCCTAAATGACTGGTTCTTAACGTAGAAATCAGCATAAGGTTCCCCAAAGCTTACGAAGGGCCAAGCAATTCATTAAACCTTTCAGTAAAAAACAGGAAAAAAAAATAGCTATTTCCAATATGTAGAAACAAAATTAAACGACAAGATATATGCAAACTGTGAAGCTGTAAATAATTCCTAAATCTTTTAGTCTTCATCTCTAGCCACTGCATCTCAAAAATTACAGTCCCTTAATCACAAGGCTACTTCCATAACCCATGTTTGTAATGAAAAGACAAGAAGCAACCTAAGAGAAAACAGCCAGAACTTACACATATTGTTTCAGAGGAAAGACATACAACTTACTTCCTGTATGTTTCTTCATCACAACAAGATACACACATACCAGGAGAAGGCCATAACTGGTAAAAAGAGAGGCAGAGTCTGGCAGTACATGAAGAAAACTACAGCTCAACTCCATCCAAAAATATATGTAAGCGAACATTAAGTTTCTAACCAGCTTTAAGGAGTATAAAGCTACATTCTTCATAAGTGAGGTGATAGCTTACATTGTTACTAGTCTTCACTGCCAGATTCTTCCCACTTATAAGACAGAATAACAAATCCCTTAGAATAGTGATGCCTGGGAGCCCCAGTATTTGTAAAACAAATGGGACTGGATTCTACCAACATCTTTAGAAGCTTAGAGATGCACTCTGCACCCAAGTGTTCCTAGAGGGCAGTTCCTCACATTGCAAATATGAATTTAAACTGAGAGAGATGCAACTCAACCCTCAAACTATCTTTGAAGTCAAGAAAAAAGACAAAACATTAACATAAAAAATCATCTCTAAGAAATGACAACAAGTTCTCTACAATGATCTGAAAGACACGTTCAATTTTCTTCCTTAGTGAAGCACGGAGGAGATGAACATACCTGCACCAGAAGTCGATCGCTGTTGAGGATGGGCTCTTCCAGAGGGTGAAGAAGGCTCCTTCATACGATCAATGACATTGTCGGACAGCTGAAAAAAGATAATCCGCCACCCCAAAAATAGTCAGACAGCATCTTCCTATTATTCCTCTCCTAAAAGAAAACTAAGTAAAACTATAAAGAGAGAAAACTCACAGACTTAGACTTGACTGCAGGTTAAGAAATTATCAACAACATAAATGTTCTGTTTCAACTGTATTTCCCCTCCCCCAAACCTCCCAAAAAACGGGCTGAAGGTGAAAGAATCATAGAATGCTTAAGGTTGGAAGGGACCTCAGAGGTCATCTAGTCCAACCCCTCTGCTCAAGGAATTAATACAAAAAAGTAAAAGATAACAGAGAGCGTAAAGGAAACTTTACACGGCCCTTTGCCAGGATGCTTGTAATTCATCAGCCTTTTTGCCTTTCTCAAGTTATTACAGCTAAATACCACAGTGTACATTGTACAGTATTCATCACAGGGAAAACTTCATCTTTTTGAAGTCCTGTAGACACCCATGTAACACAAGTGGTAACAGCAAGTCCTGCCAACTACTAAGTCCAACCTAACACTGACTTTTGCACATATAAAACATTGTTATAAATCACGTGGACCCAAACTGAGAAAAGTAAGGCCCAGTTTCTAACCTAAACCCGTCCACAGGAATATCTAACATAAGTTAAAGCAGTAATAACACAAAAGTTCCATTTTCTATTTTCAAATTATCAGTTTCCTCACACACCTAATCCTTAATAAGACTGTTTTGACCACACAGGGAAAACTTGTTTTAGTTTGCAATTTATCTTAAAATATTACTAAACTTAGAGGATAGGGCATTTCAGTGGCAAAAACCCTTTTGCAACCCAGTCCTACAGCTCTGAACATCACCTAGTTCTACACAGACCCATTCTAGATCTATTCACTAATACTTTTTAAACAAAACAATATCTTCCTAGTGTCCATGATACCGTTTGTTTTTTATTCCCCATTCCCCAAGCTCCAGGATATTTGAAATGTTCACACTGCTCTGCAGTACTGGAGCAGCTGGACCAAGTACCAAACACCTAATTTTTTTGTTCCTGCACTTGGTGTGCTTTGAAGTGGATGGAGTCCCTTCCGTGAACACTTACGTTATCACGAGATACTTGGATGAAAACATTAAGTGGCCAGAACAGAAAAAGCGGACCAAAATAGACCACAACTGTTATACTTGCTCCGGCTATACTACACTTTTCTAAGAGCAGCAATAAAGTTTGGCTCTTCTTGTTATTAAATACAGAGAGCGTTTCACTTAAAGTTTTTTTTTTTTTTTTTTAATACCAAAAGACTTGTCAAAATGTGCTGTGCCACAAGGTATCTGCCTTCTGGCCCAAAGACGCTGTCAGTAGGGAGAAAAATAGAGCGTTTCTTTAGGTTCACAGAGGATCATACACTAAATGTGGGGCATAGGGGAAGAAGAGGTCAGAGAAAGGCATCTCCTATAACGGAGATATGGAGATATGGGGGCCATGAGCTTCTCGATCAAGGCTGCTTGCCAAGACTCGCCCTTCCCTGCACCCAAGCGCCCTGGCCTTGGAATTAAAAATATTTAAAAAACAGAAATACGGAAAACAGAGGAAGAGCGGAGCGGGATGTGGGGAAGGGGCGCGCCAGGGAGGGCCGTGGCCCGCGGGGCAGGAGGCGGCAGAGGGGCCGCCGCTCTCACCCGCACGCCCTTCACCACCGTGATGTTCTCGTTCTCATCCGCCTCGAAGGTGACGCGCCGGGTGCTGCTCCCGCCGCCCATCGCCACCCGCTGCCGCCGCCGGGCCGCGGACGCCGCCAAGGAGACTCGCCGTGCCCGCTGCCAGCTCGCCTCGCAACAACGCCGCCCCTCATTGGCCCGCCGCCCGCAAGGCACCGCCCCCCGAGCCTACAACGCCGCTCCCCGTTGGCTGCAGGGCGGTAGCCATGGCGACCGCGCAGGCCCCGCCGGCAAGGTACCCTGGGTCCGCAAACTTTTTCGGGTTTCAACTTCCCGAGGAGACATTGCGGAGGGTGAAGCCTACAAGTCCCAACGTGCTTCGCGCCGCGCCTCGGCGGCGGGGGGCAGTGCGCGCTCGCAGGGCACGCTGGGTAATGTAGTCCTCGAGTGGCCTCCGAGGCAGAGGCCGCCGCACAGGTAACTGCCTCGTGCCCCTTACGCCAAGGCGTGCCCGACACCCCAGGATGGCGCAGGTGGCATCTGGAGGGAAAATAAAGTAAAATAAAACTTGTGTAGGGGACAACATTATAAATTTGTGTCATATTTTGGACATCTTCGAACTTCTCTTGCCCAAGTAGCACCAAACTCCTCCACTTTCTGATTTTTTTTTCCATTTTTATTTGGATGGAAGGTGCCTATCGGCTGACATTTCATCTGCTGTTTTCTACTATGGGTTTCTCTGACTGTTCTGTATGACCTGGAGTTGCAGAATGCCGTGAGGCAAGCATAGATTATAGATTCGGGGAGGAAAAAAATGCTATTCCTGAAGAACAAATGGGCAGAATTATACCCCAAAATTGCCCTGGGTCATTTTGCAATGTCCATAAGGTCCAGGAGCTGTGGAAAAGCAGGACTGTGGTCCCCCGGAATTTATGGCTCCCTTATAATAAACAGAAATGAAAGACTATTTGCCACAGGCCATATCTGTGTGTGTGATTTTATATATATATATATATGTCTTTACATCAAAAGCTTTTCTCTGTGGACTGTCAGATATATCTGGAGGCTTTTTCAAGGACAATACTCTATGAAAAAATTACAAATTAATGTTAAAAAAAAATACAGCAAATTTGCAGACGAAAACTGTTCATTAACGGCCAGCAAATAAACTTAAGTTTTTTATACAATTCTCACAAGCAATTTGCAAATACAGAAATAAAGTTATATTCTGTGTATAGCATTTATTCTTCAAATGGTTTAAATGTTCTCATGAATAACATGCTTATTTTAAAGAGTAGTATATCAATATACATATCAGTACAAAGATTTGAATGCTGTGTCACCTAGAAAAAAATAAATAAATGACTTGGTTCAGCCTAACTAGTGCAGGCAGCAGCAGTAATCAAAGCTTATCAAAACAGAGCTCAGCACAGAATAATTTATGTTACTGCTCGGCAGTTTTAATCAGTCTACAGGAGGTGTATGCAGCCAAGCCAGCCTTCCTTTGATAGGTGAGTTACCTTAAATACCAGCATCCCACTCCTCAGCCAAGATAAAACCATCCTAAGATACGTGTGATGAAGGGATGTGCCCAAAGTTTTGCAGTATATGGGTGTCAAAGAAGCAGAACGTTGGTCTCCTGTGTCAGTTCTCTTTGGTTATCAGACAAAACATCCTTCCTACCAGGGAAAAAAGATAATGCAAAAGCAGGATGTCAAAAAAAGATGTGACAATCAATACAAATCCATTCAATGTTTGGTTCTTGCTTCATCTCAACTCATTCCTGAATTGCACAAACGGAAAATCCATCTCAAATTGGTAAACTTCAAATATTTCAGCACAGCTGAAAAGCACAAGCAGAATGTTATTAGGTTAAAAACCTTTACTTTTTGCAGGGCTCTGTGCTTTTCCACATACCCAGCACATTTTTATGGCCAGATTTTAAACTCTTGATCCTTCGTTAAAAAAAGCAATGTTGCTGTTTGCTGTCCTCTCTCGATTTGTCCTTGTCTGGGCATATTCCCTTGGTGGCAGAAATATTTCTTGTACCACTTACCACTCGAATTGTTACTTAAAAGGTGAGGCCAAAGAGTGGAGAAGGACAGTGCAGCCAGACATTCACCAACAAATAAATCCTAATGAGCCTGGGAACAAGTTATTGCTTATTCAAACTCTGCTCTCAGGACTCAGGACAAAAAAAATGCCATGAAAATTAACGCTTGATAGGCAAGGAGACATATAAAGGCTCATTGCACAGCTGGTGTGAGCTTTTATTCTTCTGCAGAGGATCATCCTGCTCAGTCACTGCCATGGTGAGCATGTCCGACCTTATGTCTTCACATGCTTATCCCTCGATGGTGATCTACTCCTTAGAAACATTCAGCATGGAGAGACTTCAGGAGTACTCAGGTTCATCCTTAGCAGCAATGACCTTATTGCATCCTTAGCAGTAACACTAAAATCTGCAAGTTCTCTGAAATTGGAAATTACGCTTTCTTTTTAATAAGGATGTGACAGTCCCTCCTGCCTTTTCCATAAGATGAGGTTTCAAGAGTAAGTAATGCACCTCCAGCACATTCCCAGTGTGCCAAATCCTGCTGCCCTTGATGCTGCTGGCATGATTTTTGGTATCCATAATGACTGCAGGGCAAATTAACCGAAATCATCAGCTTCTTTTTATGAGGTTTGCAAATATATTTAAAGGGCTAGTTATACAAACACATTCCCCTTCAATTCCAATTCAGCTGCTGCAGAAGCTGGAAGTTTGTGTCTTACCTAAGACTCAGTGCTAAGACTGTTTTGCTTTTCACATTCAGTATTTTATTCTCATTAGTGCTAGAATTTTGCTGCCTAGCAGCAACAGGTACCAGTGGATATCACAGGGAAAGACACCTCTGCGTGGTTTGGTTTCCTGAGTCCTCAAGGTTAACACTGATCAGCGATTAAAGATGAATGATTCTTCTCTCTCTGAGCAGAAGGGGTAAGTTCAATCCCTCGTATTCACTGCACCTTAGAGGATGGATTTCTAGTTGGTGCCTGAGGTGTCTCCAAGTGATGTGTCTTACCACAGAAAACCAGCACTTCTGGATACCCCTTTTGAAAATCTTTGATGTTTTATTGCTAATTATTTCTTGATTGGCTGCTATGTGCTGTATATTATCCTGTAAGAGATCTCTACACTTTCCGTAGAGGGCAGCCTGGATCCCATGCTTTGCAGCATTAGCTACCACAGGCCTCTACAAATTTCATTTACTCATTGCATATCCTATGGTTCAAGACCCTCAGAATTGACTGTGGACCTCAAAGCTTAATATATTCCTATTATATCATATTAATATGTGATTATTTATGTTGATATACTTTTATCTGACTGCTGTGGTTCACATCAATTGCAAGTAAGCGGCAGAATTTGTAGCCAGCCCGACTGTCATTTCCAAGACCAGCCTTGATTCATGGTCTCATTTCCTGTTTTTCCCCCCACTGCTCACAGCCTTTTTTTCCTTCTCCACGGTCCATTTATTAAATGTAGACCTCAAAACACAATTAGAATTTGCTCAAGTTTATAATGTCTGAATACTAAATCTTCAGAACAATAAAAATTCTCCCAATCCTGTCTTATCGGGGCTGCCTATTGAACTGATGAACTCAGCCTTCCTTCCTTACTGACTGGATGAAAAAAAAAGAACATGATTTGTGCAATACCGAGCCATGACTATGTGAATAATTCTAACATTTGTAAGCACCGCAAAAAGACCTGGGAGCACAAAGGCAGAGCAAAAATAAATATTTTCTTGGCATTCTGCATACAATGATGTATAAAGCTGAAAACCAGAAGTGTGGTGCAAAGCACTGGTAAAGCAGAAGAAATAGGTGCAATCCCAAACTAAAAGGGGGTAACTGTATCCTGTGGAAAAAAAAAAAAAAAAGGGGTTTTATCAAAGTTGGAAAAATTTATGCATGTAAAGCCCATTGCTGAATATTGACAAGAATTCAACCTTGGTTTTCAAAGGGACAAGCTACCTATAGTGCTGGTAAACCAGAGCGAAAACAGTAGCCAAGGAACAAATAAAACTCTGCACATTCATTCTTTCCACTCTGATTAGTTAGATAAGGGATGTGAAAGGGTTTCTGTGCCAAGGTTACATTCCCAGCTTTACAGGCCAGGTAAATACCTTTCCCATTTGGAGACTATCCAAGAACGTTTGAAACTGTCCGGCGTATCTCATACAAACAGAATTTTCAAATTATTTTAAAAGAGACAGATGGTACAAAGCCTCTCCTACGTGGTTCATCCCGTTTGCAACAACAACCTACTCCCGTTTACAGGTAATGGCTCTTCTAGCTCAAGCGAGGGACGTCTCTGGTAAAGCCCAGCACAGTGTTAGTGTTCAAACCTCGCAGGCCATCTGGGCATGAGAACATTACAAAAATTGTACTGAAGCGGGCAGGAGGCTCCCTGTGTTTTGAATGTTGCTTCTGCTTTACAAGAAGCCTCTTTCCATGTCCAAACAGAGCTCACATCTCCATCTAGAGGTTGGTCATCTCTGAGAGGCTCAGGGTTTTGTTTGTAACCTCTCATTACGGATGGAGCTGAGAATTTTTTATTAGTCCAATAATACTGTTACAGTCTAATGCCCCCAATTAATTAATATTTGTAAGGTCTCATGCTTAGCACAGTTTAAATTGTTGTTCAAAAAAGCCTTCCTAATCTCTTCCCCTTTTCTCTAGCGTGATGCTCACCTCGCCAGCGTCCCTCTGCATCGCAGGGCTGATACGATGAGTTGTCGCTCATCACTCATCAGGCTGGGTGGGCAAGAGACCCACCAGACCCTGGTGACCACAGTGACAACCAGCTCGAGCCACGGCCAGACCAGAACAGCCAGAGAGCCGGTTAGGTCAGCGCAGAGTCCGTGGCCTTATACTGCTTGTATCAAAGATCATACAGGCTACAATATAAGCATGACAAGCTCTGCAGGATGGAAAATTATATCATCAGAAATACAAGTCTACAAAATAAGAGGAAAAAAAAGAGCCTGTAAAAATCAGTTGCTTCCTAGAGGAGGTTCACAACAGTTCGGACTGGAAGCCACTGGTGATCTGTG